AAACAAAAAAAAGTTAGGTTATTTCTGCCTAATTTGTGTCTAGATATCAAAAAATAATCAGACCAGTTTTTCTCATTACTTTGAGAGAACATTTTTGACTTTTTTTTTTAAATTTTTACCTTGTTCCATAAACTTCCCATTTTGTTGGAGTTTTCGAAGCTAAATACGTTGTGCGAATGACACAAGGAGACGGTTATGATCCAGACTATGAAAATATTAGACAAAATTAAGAGACAGTAAAGCATACAAGGCAGGTTCAAGGCAACCCAATTAGAAGAAAATTATGAGCCGAATATTGAATCTCAAATTTTTACAAACGTTAGTTTTATTTTCGTTCGATTTAAGAGCAAACAAGTTGTGAAAAAATCATTCGTTTACAATAAAAATGCCTTAAAATTGTTTGTTTGACACAACTGGTATTGAAAAAAAAAGTTGAAAAAAATATCTGAAACTAATTTGTTTTTTACCAAACTATTCGAATGTTGCTTTTTCTGCCGCTAAAAATAGCTTATGACTATAATCTTTACCTTGTTGACCAATAGCATGCTGAGATTTCAGTTGTGATGGCAATGATCTGGTATAAATATTTGGATGCAAACTTATCGTCAAACTCACCCAAACCCTCGTATATGAATATTCGAATGCCATTTTTTTCAGCAAATTTATTCACACCTTCGTTCTAAGTTTCAGATGCAGTTGATTTTACTGTCTTTTTTCCGAATTTTGTCACACCAAAAGTAATTTTTATTTGCATAATAAAGTTATTTATTTTCTGTCAATAACAGAATCTCTAAAAATGAGATGTCTTGCCACACTTTGGTACAGACTATAATTGAACTTTTCTCAGTTCGAAAAAACGATATGGTTGGCCTAAAAAAATGCCATATGTGCAGGGCTGATTTGAGCTTTCTCATCTTCTTCGGTATTTTTTTTTAGAAGATCCAGTTTCAGATTTACTAAGATTCGGGCAAGCGCGCGCCAGAAAAAGGCATTTTTGCCAAAAAATGCTAAAACCATTCAAAAAGTGCCCACAATGTCCTTCTTGGTTTCAAAATTTTTCTGCGGCGCAGAGTGTTTTGTTGAAATAAGTTCCTTATTGGTTCGAAGAGAGCTTGGAAAATCACTTTGGTTCGCTTAAAACTGTACATCAAAAGTTTTGTATTTTTAAAAAATCCATTTAAAAGAAAACCTAGTACTTTAGCCCGGCATACGTGTGTCTTAAAGAATTCTGCGCCAGCCAATGATTTGAATTAGAACTTAAAAGGAAAAACGGAATACAGATTACCGAATTTTTTGTGTTTATTTAAACCTGCAAAGCCCCGTTGCTTTGTTTTCAAAAGGCTCTCATCTCAGATCAAACAAAAATCAGACTGATGTATTATTCCTAGAAGTTTATTTATAACAAACACTGGGGCCTTCTTACGCTTTATGGTCTAACTAATGCGAAGTTCAGTCTATTGTCTTTTTATCATCTATTTCGCTGTGAAACTTTTCACTTACCACTTAAACATTAAATTTTTCAAGGTCAGCCCTTGTTTACAAAAAAAACAGGACGCCATTTTTTACAAATTTGTGGGCTCTGTCTAATCGTACTTTAAAAAAATTTAGCTAAAAGTTTTGCATCGCATTTTTAGAAGTTTTCGCAACGTTAGACCAAAATAGCGCCTTAGAAAAATCCATTTTTGGCTGACGGACCCTAAAATTTTTCTGAAGGCGCCTAAAAACGCCTTTTTTGACCTTTTTTTTCAAAATTTGCCTGCGGCGCACAAATTTTGGCCAAAACAGGGTCTTTCAAGTGCTTGGGGAGAGCTCGGAAAATCAATTTGGTCGACCTAAAAAAGAAAAAAAGGTCGACAAAATTTTCGAAAATTTTTTGAAAATCCGCACTCCCCCCCCCCCCCCCGAGAGAAATCCTAGATTCACCCCCTGATTGAGATGAAGGGGTCATTATTCGAAATAAGTGGGTTTTATTATGTTATTTTTTTTCACTTTGTTTGCACTAGTGATGAAAAGAATATGATTTTAGAGGTGATTTTGGTTCTTGTTCTTTGTTTGTTTCCCTAGAGCAATGAAATTACTGAAATTTTATTCTGTTTACTGTTTTTATCAGCCCATTTGTATTCACTCCTCAAAACCGAAGCGTGTCAGAAGAAGATCTCATTAAAAACAAATACGGTATCCCATTTCGCTCTTGATCTCAATATTTTTTCTGACAGTGAAATCGCACGCTTGAGATTAAAAAAAAACATCTCATTAAAAAATATATATTTTTCTGTCACGACATGAAAAAAATCTATATTTTCAACGAACAAAACGAGCGAATATTTTATTCTCTATTCTGTAGCTGTCTGTTATTGTTCCGACTTTCGATACGAAAGTAACGGAATATTTGTGCTCGGGGTGGGTTTTTTTTTCTTCAGACAAATTTCGACTTTTTAACTAGCCATTTTTGACGGAATTTTTTATATCATAGGTATTGTTGTCCTGAGCTCAAATGTGAAAAGATATTTCACCTGTGATCATTTTTCGTAAAGTTATGAGGGTTTGAAGATTGCCATTTTGGCCAATTTTGGACAATTAACACGCGATATATTTCGCGCTATTAACGCGTAAGCGGAGAGTTGATCCGTCTTAGAAATTGTTCCAAATTAGTTGAGAGAAGCGTATTTGCTTTAATTGATGTGTTACAAGGAGCCAAATATATCCTTTTGTACTTTAAATGGCGTGTGGGGGGATGACTTTCATAAAAAATTTCAAATTTTAGAATTTTTTTTTTCATTTTGTTTTATTACATTTAATTTTTAAATGTTATTACTGCTTCATAAACCTTAAAAGGCAGTCGGAACATTCAGGGCTTTGCCCTGATACGAGCAGTCTTGTTTATCTTTAGGCTGAGTCCAGATTATCAGGTATCACATAGTTGATATAGGGTGCTGACTTTTGGAGACCACTGGTTTTGAAGGATTATTTAAAAGGATCTAGCTCGTTGACAAAGTAGAAAAGTGGGCTCAAGTGTTGCTTATCAGTAAAGTCATTTAGCTCGAGAGTAAACTTTACCCAGCATTTCAACCTAGACGTGTATGATAAATCATCGATGTGTTGAAAATTTTGCAATAAATATTACAATGACTTTTAATATTTGGCCGGAAAACTTTTCCGTAAAGGTGCTTATCTCCTCATATAGCTTTACCCTAACAACAAAGCACTGTCAGAAAATCTGTCCGATAACTTTGAAAATTATTTTGCGAAGTAGTGTCTGCAATCAGCTAATATAAAATAAGCGAAGTAGTGTCTGCAATCAGCTAATATAAAATAATTTTACAAAGTTTTTTCTGTTTTTGGTCTAGCTATATTGTTACAAAACCTTTTATCAATCTCCATTACGAGGCCAAGCTGTGCATTTTGTTAATTGTAAGCGGATTCCGCTACTGACCAACAACAGAATTGTCGCGGAGTGCGCAACATTGCTATTTTTCTTTGATCGTCTTTGCTGTTTTATATTCCCCGGACAAATAGCTAAAACACTGTATTGCTCAAAACTGCTCCAAAAACAGGCAATTTTGCGGAATCCGCAACAAAACAATTAATAAATAGTCTTCAACGAAACCAAATTTGCACGAAAAACTAGCAACAATTGGTAATCACTCAATACATGTTTTAGCAGTGCCTCTAAATTTGGGCACACAATATTTGTAGATTTCATGGGCAGAATTTCGGTATCTACAAATAATTGGTTCTGTTTTTTGATCTTTTTGAAAGGAAAGCAAAACTGCTCGTATTAGGGCGAAGCCCTGAATGTTCTGACTGCCTTTTAAGGTTTATGGAGCAGTAATAACATAAGAAAATTTAAATTTAATAAAATAAAATTTGAAATTTTTTATGAAACGCATCCCCCCACACGCCAAATAAAGTACAAAATGATAGATTTCGCTCCTTGTAACAAATCAATTATGGCGAATAAGCTTCTTTCAACCAATTTCGAACGATTTCTAAGACGGATTAAATCTCCGCTTACGCGTTAATAGCGCGAAGTATATCGCGCGTTTTTTGTCCCAAATTGGCCCAGATGGCAATCTTTAAACCTCCGTAACAACTTTACGAAAAATGATCACAGGTGAAATATCTTTCCAAATTTGAGCTCAGGACAACAATACCTTTCGAATGATATTTTAAAAAATTCCGTCAAAAATGGCTAGTTAAAAAGTCGAAATTTGTCTGAAGAAAAAAAAAACCCACACCGACCACAAATATTCTGTAAGATATTGTCGCAAATATGTAGATCTTGAATCCATATACACTTGTTGCAAAAAAGAAGTGATGATGCAACAAAAATTAGAAAAAAAACAATTTCAACGACCTGTTTTCCCATTCCTTTTTGCAGAAAACGGGATAATAATTTGATCCAACTACGCTCTCTTCGATTATGAAGTATTGATTATCATCTTTCAAAGGCTCCATCTCGAAGTGCATTTTTGGGTAAGTGATACCCTTAGGGAACGCGTTTCCTAAATCATTGCCGGGCTCCAACTCAACTTCATTTCATGTTAAGCTGTTGTATAAATTAACTTACTACCGGTTATGGTTAGAAAAACGTTCAATGTGTTTTTCCACTCGCCATTTGACCTGTATGAAGTAAGTTATTGCTCTATAATGTAAAAACAGTAGATAAAAACTCATTTGAATCGTCTTAAACAAAGGGGATTTAGTTAGATATTCTTCCCTGGGAAAGGGGGCGAAATTGTTACAAGGTACAAACTTAACATACGCTGCTTTAATTTGTTCATTATATGGGTGGGAATTTTTACTAGCTACCATAGAGGTGGGGGTGTTGAGTATAGTTAAAAAGCTAAAAAGATCGAGTTTTGAATGATTTCTCAACTAGTTCTTAAATGAGCTTTCAACATTTTTCAGCTTTCGGATTTTTTCAACTTCTTTTACGCTTTAATTGAACCAATGACCTCGATAAATGTTGCTTCCATCAATCTTTTCATCTGTTTTAGGTCCACACAAGAAACAGGAAGCAGTGATTTAATCATCTCTTCAGTCTGTGATTGATTGCCATTTTCATATACCTTCCGATTATTCAACTTAACTTCCCAATTTCTTATCGAAACCGCTTTTCGCTTTTTATCTATTCGATTTCTTTCGCTATTGAAAATTATTTTTCAATTTTTTGATTACTGTCTTAATTTACAGGTCTAAACGGTCTGATTAAATTTTCACCGCTCTCAGATTTTACTTGAAATTGAGTTCCAGTCTAATTTTCCTTTTTAAAATTTCTTATGCAACTTTATTTATAATCAATCGACTCAGTTAGAAGAAAACCATGACTGAAAATTTTGTGTTTCTCATAAACCCGAAGCTCTTAAGTATCCTTTCAAAGGAGAATTTTTGCTTTATAAAGAAAAAGGAAATTATTCTGGAAAAGCATTAAGAAGAGTAATAAGGAGCTTTGCATATACATTTTTGTTTGAATTACATATCCTTAAGATGGTAATTTTTACCTGAAGTACCGCCTCAAATCCTACCCTTGCGATTTTGAATTGTAACACTTCTTTTGAGAAAAAATAAAAAGGTTATATTTCAGTTTTTTGCTTGGTTCGTGTATCAACTTGAATTACAATATTTAATTTATTTCGCGGATCTACACCAATAATACGGCCCAACCAATTTTAATCCCTTTCTCCACCCTTATGCACATGATGTTAGCTTTATTCCAAATTTCTCTTTATACTTTTTCCTCAAAAAGGTCGCGAAGTTCGCGTGAAAAAAATTAAAAGCGATATTACCCTTGAAATAAAAAAGGAACTTAACGAAAGCCCGTTATTTGCGCCAGTGACAAAATGTCATTCTTGCTGACAAAAGCTTTCTGGAGCCGAAGAGAAAAAACTGACAAGTGCAAAAGTGCAAATGGAGTTTTCAATCCCAACTGCAGATCACATACCTTCACTTCAGATTCTAAATCCCCCTTTAACAATAACCAACTTAACAAAGACAATATGACCGCCAATTCTGCTGGCCAAGGTCTGGGTTCAATTTACGGTGTCCAAAATGGACCCAATACAGGCGCTGCTTCCAATAGCTTTTCAAATTCTGCCGGAAATCTTGGCCTCCAGCCGCAGCATTCACCGATCAGTCCAGTTCAAACACCTGTAAGAGACAACCAATCACAGAGCTTAACAGCGACTCACACCCGCAGGAAGTCTTGTATCAATTATCTTGAGTCCAGCAGCGAGGACTTATCCGAACAGGGCTCGACGTCGACGTGCTTGGGCGACACAGATCGGAGGATTAACGTCCGAACTCTAAGTCTAATAGTCTGCACTGTTAGGTTAGTTTACACTCATTTATATTACTTAAAGAGACTGATAAGATTAACTGCAGTTGTTTCAAGCCAAAATAAAACACAAAATTCTCCAAGGTTTTGGTTTCCAAGGACTTTTACCACTTTTCCATTAATCTGAATTTTATGAGTCTTTGAGGCGTCATGGGTTCAAAAGGGTTTGTGAGTTATTATCAATAATCTTGAAATTTATTCAAATTGTATCTGCAAAGAAATATTACAACCATTTTCCTTCTTTTTAATTTTTTTTATCAAGTATTGATAAATGCAAAATACCCCCTTTTTACAAGTATGATTTTACAAGAAAAAAGAAAAATTCAAAAAAAAAATAAATTTGCGATATGACCTCAAATGAGCCCACGTGAAGTGGTTAGCTAGATTTCACTCAAGATAGAGTTTGAAAAGGGTTCTTTTCCCCATCGATTGAGCAGGAGAAAAAAGGATATTTAATTTGGTGTTGCGAAGCTTCGTTATGAAGACGTTAAAACCACTCATCGGAAATGAAGAGACAGAAACGTGACATAATTGGAGGGAAATAATTAAGCCGAAATACTATAACGGAGGCATTGAGTTCGACTCAAAAGAAGCCTGAAAACTGTCCAGCAAAAAGTAGGAAAAAAACAGCGTATTGCACCTTTTTGTAACAAACCAAATGATGCACAGTAAATTTTAAAAGTCAATTAAAAAAAAAACTATGCTTTCAACTTTTTCGATTTTATTTTCATTCAGGCATACCGGATGTGAATACTTCAAAAAACGTCAATCTTTGTGCTTCTGATCACTATATACTTATACAGGGGCGGATTTAGGGGGGGGGGGGGGGGCGGACGCCCTCCCCTCACGGATTCGACCCCCTGCCGACCCAAAGGGTCCCCCTTTGATACTTTTTAAGAAATCCATTTTGGCCGACCGACCCTAAGAATTTTCTAAAGGCGCCTTCGGCGCCAATATATATTAACTTTAGGGGGAGCGCGCGCCAAAAAAACACGATTTTTTTGTCAACATTTTTCAAAAAGTGCCCAAAAACGGCTTTTTTAACAGTTTTTTTTCAAAAATTTGCCTGCGGCCCTGAAAATTTTGCCCAAAATAGGGGAAAATATTGCTTTGGGAGAGCTTGAAAAATCAATTTGGTCGACCTAAAAAAAAAAAGGTCGTCAAAATTTTCGAAAATTTTTTGAAAATCCGCCCCTCGAGAAAATCCTAGATCCGCCCCTGTACATATACATGAGTGTACATAAAGAAATAATTATAAGCAAATATATCATGTTGGGCATAAAGAGATGTTTAACTTGTGTAAGTTTTTGCTCATGTATTATAGCCTTTCGCGTAATACAGAACCAAACAACAGAAGCTAGTTTAGTTTACCTCAATTAAACTTAGAATGTTAGGTTGTTAGACTAAAACTAGATTTTTAGACTGTATTTCAACTATTATAATTTGCAACAAAAAAACCTCCGATCCTAAACAAGGAAAAACCGGATTGAGTCTAACGGTCTGTTGGATAAGTTCAATCGTAGCAGCCTCAACAAAAGCGACCATGCGCATTCACATTTTTCTGCAATTCAGTAAAGCGATTTGGGTAAAGATGTATTGCCCCTGCGGGTTAGTTGGCTCAGTCACCGTTCAGGATTACCCGTTTACAATATAATGCCAGATTGAGTACGATAATTATGATAATTGGTAAAATAACATTTTACGATGCTGCTGGATTACCGCCTGCAAATATCAATGCCACCGCCTGCAAATATCGTAGGCGGTAATCCAAAATATTAAATATCGATGCAACAATTTTGTGAGCAAAAAAGCCAGAACCATAAAATTACCCTTTTTCAGGCAAAAATTTTCATTCCTGTTGCTCTATTCTCATACCAGTAGTTTCTAGGTGAACCATGACGCGAGTGGAAACGTTAAGTTCCTTTCACACATAAGCTGGTATTTAGTGATTGTACAAACTAAGGGTGTACAGCACTGTTGGCGAAGTTAGGTCCTTAAAGATTTAGTCAGTGGAACATATTACATAAACTCAACTTGTTTCATTAAAAATTTATATTTTAATTGGTCATAAATTCCTGTTTTTGGTAGTTTCAAACCTGAAAAGTTTTCAAAATCTATAGTTTTGCTTTTACGGTCAAGATCGAGTAACTTAAAGTTTCTTCATTGTTGAAAAAGAACGGAAGTTAGAGATAGATATTAAGGAAAAAGATATAATCAGATCAAACTTAGCGCAGCCTTGATCACTTTTACCGACAATTTTTTTTATAAAGTGAAGCTGTTTGAAAAAACACATTTTTACCAAATTGAGATAATTATCGCGCACTTTTTTTTGTTCTATTTACGCGTAGGCGGGAAATTAAGCCGGCACAGAATCGATTTCTAGTTGAATTGAGGCAAAATACTTCATCTTTAAGTAAATAAAAATGTATCTTTGGAATAAATGACGCGAGATTTCTTGTTCCGACTAGCGAAGCAAGTGACGGAATGGTTATAATTCTGACTGGCTTTTTTATCATCAGAGAAACTTCGACCTCACACTAATTGTCTATACCTTGAGGTCTTAACAAAAAAGTTTCTTCCTGAAATCTAATTGGAAAATAAAAGCAATAAAAATTGGCTGATTCGGCCAACTTGGAATAAGTAACAGATTGTCAGTGCTTTTGTGATTTAATCCAAATCGAAAAAAAAACATTCATTCCAAATCAAATTGAGGCAAGCTCTTTAGTCTTAATATTACGCTATTAAACACTAATTAAAAAAAACATTTTTGAACAACGCGTATTAGATCGTGGTGAAATTGTTTAAAAAATCCTGGGAGTAACCAAAGGTCGGTATTTAAGGTGTGGGGAAATGGGGGGGGGGGGGGGGATAAAAAATAGGTTTTTCCGAAACTTACTTTGAATAAAAAACATTGAGATTGATAATGAAAAAATATATATAACCAAAAAAAACTGAATAAAACTTTGGGTAATTAACGATATCAAAAGCTACTCCATAGGAACTCGACAATAAAAGGTTCTGCGAGTTTATTTTAAATGCATATTTCATGCGGAATCATTTTCCGCGTTGAAGTTGCATTGCGACTCAGATATGTATCATAGATTTTTCATTTTTTTTGCATCCATGTATCATTCATGTTGCAGTTCCATTTAGTGATGTTTATCAATGTTTCATCTATGAAACAAGGATGCAAATTACATTCATGTTTCATTGATGAATCATGACTGAAACATGGATGTAATTTTTATGATTCACCCATGAAATATGGCTGCAAACTGAACTCGTGCATGTGGTGTTTCAGTAACGAGTCATGAACGTTTTCTCTCTTTTTCCTGATCTTCCCCCACAACACACATAATCATCAATTTTATGGTGTAACGAAGGGTTTTATAAGGTTAGGTATGAAACTCAAATAAGTTTGTCTCAGCCCAGTTAGTCCGCATGCCAATTTTGGTAACAATCGGACATTTTGGACAAAAAGTTACTCGTTAAAATTCGCTGAGGGGGAGCGAGGAAAATGAGCCCTTTTTCATCAATTTTCCATATTGATTAAAAAACTTTAGCAATAACTATTTCAGGGCAGATGAAACATTCAGTACGGGCAGTCTTGTTTTTAGAAGCGCTTTCAATAACAGTTAATCGCGAAGCAACTTAATCAAGTTTTTTTTGCACGACTAATAGGTGAAATATTTCATACCGAACCCCCAGGGCATGGCTGTTTGATTGCTGTACATTGCTAAATCAACCCGGTCCGACTTAGTTTATTACTTTCTATGGAAGATAACTTTGCGACTAACTGTCGCTTGTGGAAATGCTACCAGTTTTCGCCGCTGCTAATTATCGCTAGCAGCGAATCGTAGCCACGCGGAGAACTATGAATCACATCACATAAACATGACAGTCTTCGCATTTTTTACGAAGGAGCTCGAAAATTAGAAAAATAAATCTTAATTCATTGTCAGTTTTTTTTCCCAAAGTCAAATTAATTTTGATTTATTTCATGCGCTGGTTTGTCGTCTTCTTTTAATCTTGAAAATACCAGCGGATATTACGAACTCCGATGAGTACCCCCTTGGGAAGTTGCCTTTCTTCCTCAGCCAAATTATTAATATTTTAATATTAGCGTTAAAATCGTTCTTGTGACAGAAGCACGGAATAACCGAATGTTCTATGAGATGATTGCAACTCAGTATTCAAGTTAACTGTTTGCAAACCAGCAAGAGTAAAAACACAGTTTTGGTTCGCAAGGGGGGTTATATGCTTGGCTTGAAAATTTGTTCTGTGACGATTGAAGTAGAGTCTTACGTACTCTGCCTAGGGCAACTCAAAATAGGCATTTTAATTGATTTCGTCTGCAATAATAAGCATAACAGGCTTAGTTTAAGCTCTGTGGAAAAAACTAATCACCTTTTTCCAAACTGAGATACAATTTCACGGACAATCAAATTCGTTGTTTTCTTTCTGGCTCTTTTCACTTTTCGCTGTCTCTGATTCTGAAGTTAATTACCTGTGCTCGGCTCAAAGTTCGGCAGACGGTTGATTTTCATGCTCTACTATCAAAATGTACTATTACTATAAGTGGTAATGGTATGATAATACATTGTAGAAGTGAAAAAATCAGAAAATTACAGCATGATTAAGCAGAAAAATATATAAATCAGCCAAAAAAATGAAATATAAGCAAAAAATACAAAACTAAGCTGAAATTTTTTTAATCAAAAATATATGTAGAAAACATTTCAATAAGTAAAAAAAACATAAACAAGTAGAAAATACAATTTTTCACAAAAAAGAGCAGAAAAATATATTAGCAGAAAAAGTTTTCTTATGTGTGAATGCATTGTGTGAATGACATAACAGTGTCTTATTACTTTAAATATGCTTATAAAAATAGGCCAGTTACCCAAACTCATCTTCCGTTGCGAGAAAAAAATCTTGCAAATATGTTGGCAAAAGTGTTCTGAAAGAAGTGTAAATATCAGTAACTAGAATGGGAGGTAACAGCAATCCGTGCCCCCAGGATTTGGACTTCTTTGACGCAAAAACAAATCCCTGTGGACACTAGCTTAACGACACTCTTTTCAGTGAAACGGTTACAAGTACTTCAGCGCATTTTTTTCAATTTCATGCGAAAAGGATATTATTTCGAATTTTTCAAGTTATGAAATATTACATAACTGTTTTTATCGTGTCCGTCTAGCTTCACTTCAATATCCTGTATTAAGTATAATTAATTGAAGTAGCATTAAGTATATATGCATTAAGTAGCACATAGCGCTTGTTTCAAGGTTTTATATACGAGCAGAACAATTTTTCAAATTTTTTTTTTCATTTTAAACGTTGAAAAAATTTAACAGTTTTTCTTAATAACCCTAAAACTTAAACTACAGCGATATTACACTGTATGGTTTACACAACGAAAGCGCCGCCACAACAACATAATAACTAGTTATTGACTTCTTGATTTCAAGTTCTGCAGAAATTTGCCGTTGAACTTTTATTATGCCGTTTTTGCTTTTTAGCTACTTGATGTTCGGAGCTGCAATTTTTGACTTCATCGAATCTGAAAACGAAGAAGAACAACGAGCCGAGCTGATCGAACGCGAGAAAAATATCTCCGAGCGGTACAACATTTCACAGGATGACCGGGTCGAGCTGGAAGAAATTTATGTGCGACTCGTGCCCTTCAAGTCTGGAATTCAGTGGAAATTCACCGGCGCTTTTTACTTTGTTTTAACTGTCATAACTACTATAGGTTACGGTCACGCTGCCCCAGCCACCCGAGTTGGAAAAGTGTTTTGCATGGCGTACGCTTTCATCGGCATTCCACTGTCCTTAACCGTGTACCAGGCAGTCGGCGAACGTTTGAACACTTTCACTGCTTGGTGGTTGATGCACGCTAAATCCCGATTCTTCAAACGACCCAAAACTGAGGTAGAGATTTTTTCAAAGTTTTTGAATTTTCAATTATTAAATGTTTTATCGAGACTATATTTTGGTAATAACAGTGTTATTTGGCTCGTTAGTATAATTTTTCAGCTCAATTTTCCAAAAAAACTTCAAAATTAAGGACAAATTGTGTTACCCGGGTTGACCCAAAATGCTAGTCATACAATTTCCATATATGGAAAATTGCTAGTCATACACTTTCCATGCAATTCCATACGCACAGAAAATTGCATCAAAGGTCTATGATTAATATTTTTTCATATATGGAAATTGTAAGACTAGCATTTTTCCATAAACCAAAAAGATTGATTTTTTACATTTTAATTTCTCAAAATTTATTGGTTGTGTTCGTAACCGAACACAAATGGCATAAACCTTGGTTACTCAAACGTAGTATTCAAAGGTTTAGCCGTCACGCATTAAAAATGCTTAGGAAAAGATGTCTTAATTCTTTCTCACGCAAATAATATAACGAAAGCATCAAACTTTTAAATTTTGGCAAAAATTTTCAGAGATGATTATTTCTAAAATTTGAATTTTCAAATTACCAGACATTGATCAAGGCATACAAAAACATGCCATACAAAAAAAAGAGGAGTCTTGAGCATTTTTAAAAAATGTTATCAAGAGAAATGGAAAAAACCCAATATTAGTATATCCAGGACTACGTTATACACACAAAAAGTTAAATTTTGCATGCAAAATTTTTTTTTCAAAAAATGTTTGTTTGAGTACGAAAATCATTTTGCGGTTGAAATAAACACAAAAAATTTTTGGGGGCAATTTCAAAAATACTTCGAAAATTTTTCGTTGTCGCCATCAAAAAATGATAGTCATACAATTTCCATATATGGAAATTGTATGATTAACATTTTTTTTGACAAAAAATTTTTCTTTTTTATTTAGTACGATACACCAAAATTTATGCCAAAACAAGAGAAAAGTTCTTCGAAAATTCGATAACACCATTTTAGCAAAATGTATGAAATTTTTATGATTAGTATTTTTTCATAGACTTAGTTTATGGAATTATATGATTAGCATTTTTGGCCTATGGAGGTCAACCCGGGTAACTAGCCGAATAGACTAATTTGATTATTGCAGATCCACGATTAACCTCAAAATGTAGATGATATCAAAAACGAAAGCATTCCAATTGAATACAAATTTTAATACCTTGAGATATTGAGGCCTTGCATGTATGTGCATATGGTTACGAGTGCTATGGAACGTTTGCTTTTTCTTCCGACTTTCGATACGAAAGTAACGGAATATTTGTGCTCGGGGTGGCTTTTCTTCTTCAGACAAATTTCGACTTTTTAACTAGCTATTTCTGACGGATTTTTTAAAATATCATTCAAAAGGCATTGTTTTCATGAGCTTAAATTTGAAAAGATAGTACACCTGTGATCATTTTTCGTAAAGTTATGGGGTTTAAAGATTGCCATTTTGGCCAATTTGGGACAATTAACGCGCGATAATTTTCGCGCTATTAACCCGTAAGCGGAGATTTAATCCGTCTTAGAAATCGTTCCAAAAAGGTTCAAGAAAGCTTATTTGTCCTAGTTTATCAGTTAATAGGAGCGAAATTTTTTCTTTTGTACTTTATATGGCGTGTGGGGGGATGTTTTTCAGAGAAAAAATTTCAAACTTAGAAAAAAAATTTGACTACTTAAATTGACTACTTAAATTCATTTTTCATTTCAAATAAGGGCCCCTAGAATCAGCGTTACTGATATTTTCACGGGCACTTAAATTGAGAGAAATGCTGGATTTCAAAATAGTAGCATTTTCGTGCTCTTTACGGAACAATTTTTAATTGTGATCAATTCATTGAAACCATTGTTTTCTCAAACTAGACTGCTCGTATCAGGGCGAAGCCCTGAGTGTTCCGACTAATTGGCCTCGGATAGTTTTTGTTGAATTAAATATTGTCAAAACTGAGAATTATAGGCTGATAATATCAAAAAATAATTGGTGCATTGTGAGAGGTATATGGAGTTAATAAAGCAAATTAGCTGTTTCAATTCACTTTGGAACGATTTTACAGTGAGGGATAATCAAACAAGTAATTTTAGACATACTCATGGTAGGTTACTACAGTTTACACGGCTGACACATGCAGCTCAAGAGATCGATCCACCGAGGGTCCAGAGTTTTGTAAAAATGGTCTGAAAAAGAACCACCCGAACAAAGATATTCTTTGAACGTCGGAACATTAACCGATACAAGTTACTCAGTTTTTTCACAAATGCATTGTTTAACATCGTCCTGTTTACACTTGCGAAATAAGTGTATTAGTAGGAACCTTCTTTATTTCCATCCTAAGTCGCAAATGATGGCGCCACTTTTGGGGCACCTTTACAGCTTTTTCATAGCATGTACTTTGGCATTCGAATAGTATTAAGTCATAACAGTCGATGCATTTTAACTTTTCAAATGAACCGGAAAAAAAAGATTTATTTCAAACAACATAACAATATGAAAAACTCGAGTTCAGTAGCTTTCTAACTCAATGTATCTCGCAATGTTTTGAAATGCAATTTTATACATTAATTGGATTTCTGCTTTGCGATTTGTTACATGCAAAGTTAATTGGATGCCTTCAAATTGTTATAGTCAAAATTTTTAATTGCAAAATAGAGTCTATATGAATTTGGTGCCACTCTTGCTGAATCGCATTAGAAAATTTTTAGCAAATGTAGATGCTTTATTCGTGACTAGTGTTTGTCTATTGTTAAGCGTTAGCCGAGTTCTTGCTAAATCGGGGCTTATTTCTGCTTTATTTTTTTTCGCTTGATAGAGCTGCTTTTTGGTCGTGTTCTCGCAAGTGTCTTCGAAGTGCAGCTTCGCCTCTGTGTAAAATTCTGTCAAAGTGCACAAAATCCGAATAGCTAGAGCCCACGCATTGTGCATTCTTGAGTGTGTCTTTGTTCTTGATTCTTATTAATATCGTTTAGAAAAATTAGTTGTTTTGATTTTTGAGTAAGAGGGCGGAATATTTGTGCTCGGGGTCGCTCTTATCAGACAAATTTCGACTTTTTAACAAGCATCTTTTGACATTTTTTCTTTACCACCTGAAAAGTTTCATTAACCTGATCAAATATTTTAAGTAAAAGTTTCTCTGTGATCATTTTTGTAAATTATGGGACTTTAAAATATGCCAATTTGACTAATTTAGGACAAATAACAAGCAAATTATTTCCAGCTAGTAACGCATAAGCAGTTACTTGAATACAAATTTGTTCAAATACTTTTGATGCACTCAATATTTAGCTGTATGCAAAATGTATCACTTTAAAGTTTAAATAGTGTGTGGGGCATAATTTTCATAACTTTCAGAAAACAACCTCAAAAAAACTTTCATGTTTTTTTTTCAAAAATTTTATCCATTCGTTTTTAGCGAAGATCAATACATAGACCTTAAAAGAGAGTTGGAACATTCAGGGCTTCGACTTGATTTGAGCAGTCTTGTTTAACTTGACTTTCTTTAACTTGACTTCGTTGACTTTATCGTTTATGCAGTTTATCTTAATGATAAAAAGTGGATTCACACGAGTCGACAATAAAATTGCAACAGAAAGTTTGGAAACACCAAAAAAACTTCTATTTTTAATTTTTCAGTTTGCAGTTCTTATGGTTTTTTGATAATTAGCAACAGACGCGAAAATTTTAATCTGCAATTTCGAGGTGTTTTAGACAACGATCGATTCAAAAAACCAATTCAAACCAATACATAGAATTTTTTGGCTACTTTGGGATCACGTACTGTTCGAAGTTAGGCTAAAATAAGCTAATTTACTATAAAGCAGGTTTGAAAACTGGGTTTCATCAACAAGTTTGAGAAAAGTTCAAAAATACATACAATTAGATGCCAATTTTGAGGATTTTAAGTCCCAAATATATTTCTGGGACCCAACCATCGTTTTGGAAGCCAATAAGTTTTCATTATTTATAAGGAAATAAGTGATAAAATCAGTCAGCTTAGCTTTGCGCTTGAAGGGCACTGATTGAGTCTTAAGCTACCAACCACAGCATATTCTGATGCGCAAAGGAAAGAATACGCGAAAACCAGTCAATGTCCTTTTAAATGTCCAAAACGGACTGATTTTATTGCTTTTCTTCATTCGAATTTATGAGTAATGAATTCTTATTGGCCGCAAAATTTTTCGCTCAGACGGTCAATCGCACATGAGCGACGCCCCCTATTGTTTCAATAGCAGTTTTTATCAACTTTTTTTATTTTTGATTTGTTTGACTGACAGGTGCAGGTGACTCAGACGGAGCTGGTGATGGCTGGATGGAGTGCGTGCAGTCTGGTGTTGTTCGGAGGGGCTGCCGTGTTCTCCCACTACGAACAGTGGCGATACTTTGACTCCCTATATTACTGTTACATCACCCTCACAACCATAGGCAAGTAATCCTGTCCAACCCCCCCCCCCCCCCCCACCCCAGAACCCCTAGCCTCCCCAGAGCCTTTATGTTATGTATGTAAAAGTTCAGAATTTGGTTCATAAGGCGACCTTGGTGAGTAATCCTATACATACGCAGACACACACATACACACACTAATACAACTCTCATTTTCATCTTTGAGCAGAAGGTAGGAAAAACTTCAACCCAAAATTTGAACCCCTTTGATCCCCATAAATGGAAGGGAGACGGAAAAGAGGATCGAACGGGAAGTGAAGTGAATGAGGGCTAGGTGTTATTAAGTGATTTGAGCCCCTAATTTGGTCAAACAACGCCCACTTCGTTCTAGTTTAGGCTAATTGTCTCAAATTACATATTAAAATTCGCCTAAGAGCAGATTTTGAACGCATTATTGAATTTTTTGCGCGTATTTGACATTATTAGTGGGAAAAAAACTCTTTTTAAAGAGTATTTTTTGTTGTGTTAAGTGCTCCTTAATTACAGGAAAAACCCCTCAAAAAAGCAAGAATCTACTGAAAAATCTCCCCACCTACCTGGTATCTAGTGAAGAATATCCACCTCTATATACAGGCGCGGATATAGGAATTTCTCGAGGGGGGGGGGGTTTCAAAAAAAATTGAAAATTTTGTTAACCTTGGTTTTTAGATCGACCAAATTGATTTTCTTAGCTCTCCCAAACCATAATAAAGACCCTAGTTTGAACAAACTTTCAGCGTCAAATTTTTTAAAAAGGCAAAAAGCGTTCTTGAACCCTTTTGTATAATTTGGACCAAAAAATAGCGTTTTTTCGGCGCGCGCTCCCCCCTCAAAATAAGTATAGATTGGCGCCCAAGGCGCCTTTAGAAAAAACTTAAGGTCAGTCAGCCAAAAATGGATATCTAAAACAGTACAAAGGTGGACCCCCGCTACTGTCTATGTATAAGTACTGTAAATTAGCTCTAGATAACATTATGAAATTTTAATGCAAGAAAACCAAATCTCAACTAATTATCAACAGTTCAAAGCAGAGGTGTCAGTTTTGGATACATGTACTTTTGAGATGGTATGTTACATGCCTCATTACTTCAAATTTTTGAAATCATCCGAAGTTTAATCATCTATATTTAGTTTTAGGGCATGCTATGTTTCGGTCAAGATATGTACTCGGTTTTCTCACTCAATCGAGTGAATTTCACCAAAAAAAAGCCAATTTTTAACACAGTGTCGAAACTGAGCTTCGCGCCACTTCCGATACAACTAGATTTATCACAATCAATGAAAATAGTTGAAAAGAAACATGCTTATACAATAGAATGCAAAATCACCGTCGGCACAAATCTTACCAAACGGTAACACAGCCGAAATCTATTTAAGAATCTCTCCTCCCCGCCCTATGGTATCTAGTAAAGAAACTCCACCCCTATAAATAAACACTGTAAGTTAGCACTAACGGTTTCTGTCATAAATTCTAATTTTGCTGCATTCTGATTCGCCGAAAAATCGGTTTAGTAAAATTACTTAACAATCAGGCCCCGAATTTAAATTAAATTACTATTTTTTTGTGCTTAACTAACTATTTTTGAAAAAATGGGGGAAAATGAATGAATCAGAGAGATGCGCTTCATTTTAAATATTTCTTTTGAAATTCTTCAGACAACCGACCTTATTTCCAAAACTATTCGCCAACACTGACATCTTCGCCAAAGTCTGTGGTCACATGGCGGATAGTTGATTAGATGCTGTAAATTATAAAATTGAAAATTTGAAAACTTTCTGGTGATACTTCATGATGAAATACTCGGGTTTTCTCTCAGACTCGCTACATTTCTTAAAAGAATTTTCATTAAAATTGATTTTTTTCGTTACTGCAGCAAGTTTTATTGAATTTTTCTTCATTTATTTTGATGGTTTTTGAGGAACTCTTTAGTTATCTAAGATGCTTATTTTTATTTAACTAAAATCCGGGGCCTGTTAGCAATATCCCCGCCCCATACTTGAAAGGGGGGAATGTCAAGTAGATTCAAAAGCAACATCTGTTTATCCTCTACCAAGAGGGAATATGTTTTTCTTGAGTGCCCAAGGACGTGCGCAGACATTTTTCTAGGGGGAGTTTTCGAGGAAAAAAAATAAAAATTCGTCGACTTTTCTTTAGATCAACCAATTAGAGGACCCAATTTGTCAAAATTTTTCTGCGCCGCAGTCAAATTTCTGAAAAAAAACAGGCTAAAAATGACGTTTTGAGCGCTTTTAAAAACATTTGATCAAAAAAATGTTTTTTTTTTCGGCGCGTGCTCCCCCCTCAAACTTAGTTTTATTGACGTTATTGGCTTTAGAAAACTTTTGGTGTTTGTCAGACAAAAATGGATTGGTGTTTGTCAGACAAAAATGGATCTCGTAGAAATATACCAAAGGGGGACCCTTTGGAAAAATTTGGCAACTAGAATTGAAAAAGCGGCGGTCGACAAACCCCCCCCCCCCACCGCCTCCTCCCGCCTCTGCACGCTTCTGTGAATGCCATAGGTCACAGGATTTTTAAATAGATGGAAATTCAAGATCGGTCTCATTATTTAAGGCATTCAAAGGCAAGGAAGCAAGAATACAAAAATGGTAAAATTTCACTCTGAAAGTCTGCCAGTGACGTAGTTTAAAAGGGCTGCTGGTTTATTCAAAAGTGATCAGAAATAACAGTTTGCTTATTGGCTAATTTGTCTTTCAAACTAATTCAATCGATGCAATGCACTTAAGTCCAAATTAAAAAAGACCTTTAAATCAAACAATGTCTCGATTTTTTCACGCCTCTATGGCTGAAAGGTATTACGTTTTCTAACGACCTTTTTATTATGTTTCAGCACTGTATTGTGAAAATGCTAATTTTATGACACTTGACCGCATTTTTTTTACTTTTAAAAAAAGATATTGGGAAACATAGTGCCAAATTTTATGGAGTTCACGCAAGACTAGCCTTAGTTTAATTTTCTAAAGTATTTAAAACATTAGGTTGAAAAATTAAACTGCAAATCTATCAATTTTAAATGAAAGCTTGCTTTTAACAACTAATTTTTTTATTGTGATTAGTTTTGATCTTTAATGATATAAAACACATTGGTAATTTATTTTTTTAGCTTCTTAAAATTTGACCTTTGATTTCAGGATTTGGAGACTACATCGCCTTGCAAAACGACAACGCACTCCAGAAAGACCCAAAGTACGTCTTCTTCAGTATATTATACATAATGGTAGCTCTATGTGTAGTCGCATCCTCCATAAATCTCCTCGTACTAAAATTCCTCACTATGAACACAATGGACGAAAAAGAAAATGCGCAGAACGAGGCTCGAAAGCAGTTCTCAAACGTGTTACGACAAGTAGCGCACGAGCGAAGTCGGCCGGCTAGTGTGTGTCAAATAGACGCAGAGCCGAGTTCAAATCACGTGAACAGCCCGACACGACAAAACCCAAGATTCACCCGAACGAGCGCCGAGTACTCGAATTGGGACCACCACGCGACTCCAAGCTCGCTGGAAAATTCCACAAATTCCTATCATCACACAGGAGGAATGAAACGTCTGTATACAAAGAATTCTGGGAAATCATTTCATCACATGGCAAAACGACCTTCACTTGTAGCAAATTCAATCTACCGTCAAGACGACTATAACGTATAGACTCGTCGCAAAAATTTCCCAGTGAAATCTTTCGCCAATGAGATAAAACCACGAACTTATATCACTCAGCAATTTAGATAAGGAAAAATTGAGCTCTATTTTTGTTCATTATGATTATTATAATTGTCTTTAATTTAATAGTCTAATGTTTATTTAGATACGCTGTTTCGAGTTCAATTTTTTGAATATTATATTTTATGTCTTTAGTTTCAAGTAGTTTCAGCCTCACGTTTCTTCATTGGGCACTAACAGGTGACAATAATTTGAATTTGACAGCTGAATATGCCAAATGTAAATTTGACCAAAGGGTGTTTTGAACAATTCGAGTGTTAAAAAGAGGCGCCACATTGTTGTGAAACGCCATTTGAAACAAAAATAGGTAGACATTTATACAGAAGCCTATAATTTCGCGGAAAAAAGTACACGTATCACTAATTTTCTCCCCGCTTCGTGGTCCAAATAACCAAAAACCGTTGAATTGTCGAGTTGAACCATTATTCGTATAACAAGTTGTCCTAGCTTCAAGACTTGTTTAATTGTTTTGTAGCGATGTCTATCAGAAACTTTGCCACCAAGCCCACTTCTGGTCACCCTAGCCTCTTAAAGAGCACCTAACGTAAAAATAGATTTCATAAATCATAATCTAGCAATTATATAGGCAGGATATGCATTGTTGATTTTGGTAACCACAGTCGCGGTAAATGATGCGAATAACTTACAGTACTTAACTTCAACCACGATGCTAACCAGATCTTGAATTGCCACGGTGGGTCTAGATTTGCTGTCGCCCAAAATACTGGTCTTCCCAAATGAGTGGGATTGTCTTGAGCTGAGAATCCTGCTGGCTGCGCCATGTGATATCCTACGAGGTATCTTGTTGGAAAACTAAATGGTAATTCAAAGAATGTATTTTCTTAGCTTTGAATAAATAGTTTTTCTATTTGTTTTATGTTTAGCTACTGAGAGTGGTCCTGCAATTTTTAATCTGAGCTCTCAGCTGTGTACCAATGTATCTGATCTCATGATCTTGGACACAACTAATAATTATTATATTTAACACTGAAGGTTATTGTTACATCATCAATTACTGCTATTGCAGTAGCATTTTGACAGGCTTCATAACACTAAGGTGAAACTGTAGTACATCTCTCTTGTGGGTTTCAGAGTTTTCGAGTTTTCAAAGCAAAATGGTTGGTTTTCTGCAATAAAGCTGCGTTAGTTTCTGGAAAATAATCATGTCTATTTTTGCTAAATAGGACCTACTGAATCTGCAGGAAAATTTTTACAAAAAAATATTGGCTCCAAGAACTGTATTCGCATCGGGAGAAGTAATTTTTAATAACATTTGTAATTCGTATTTATTGATTATCCAGGATTGGTTTGTGGGATTTTTTAAAATGAGATTTTTTTTGTGACCCATTCGAAGTTTTGTTTTAAAAAATTACGCCTATAAGCGATAGTAAGTTTTATAAATAGGTTTTTTGGTAAAATAATTGATGTAGTGATGTCACAAAATCCAGATAAGAGTCAGTTATCGCTGATCATTTCAGCTGAACAAAAAATCCAGGATGTTTATATGTTTGAAAACCCACCGCTTTGTTTCGGAAACTATTTTGACTTTTTCGATGTCATCCTAGTCCCGCTCAGAAACCGCCCAAACCATGCTCAACATGCTCGAATCGCTCATTTTAAAGCAAGACTATTAGCTTAATTGTCACAAAAAACTTCTCAAACCGCTCAAAACATGCTTGAAACTGGGCTAGAAACCTCGACTCGGGCAATACAAAAATAAAAGAAAACTTATGCATTTTCAGACAGCATTGTTATCAGGGAATGAGTAGTAATACTTGCCTGACATGTACTATAAAGGTCCTGTTGAAAATACGGTTCAAAGCTGTTATTTTTATGAAAAATAATGTTAAAAAAATCATCAACCAAAGTGGAACAATTAATGAACAATCAAAATTCAGACGTCGATGTAAAACTACATACATGGGAAATTAGACGTAATTTTAAAGTTCACGCTTGTCAAAATTACTTACAAACTACAATTAATTTTCCCTGATTACATTTTTAATTACGTTCGAACATTTTAAACGCAAACCAAATTTTCACATGGCGCAAATGTTTAATTTATGAATCTCAAAATAAAGATATAATGATCGGAATAACGTTTTATAAATTTTTTTTTTTACAAATAAATTTATTTACAATTAAAATAAAATTATTATACTTGGTAGGATTATATACACTTATTGTAATTGTAAATGGAACTGTTTCAAGCTTTGCGTTTTGTTAGCCCTTTTTTGTCTATAGACGCTAGTTTTATTGGAGACGTCTTCTTTGCTTGTCCCCGTTCAGAACATATTTTTATGAAGCATTTTGAATAGAAGCTTTTGTGTATTTTTTTTAACTTTAGGTCAACTTTAAATTGATGCGACTAGGGGCTAGATGAACGGACGACTAAAGTCAACTTTAAAAAGCAGAACGAAACCAATTAATTTTTGAAAAAAGCGCAAACTGTGTAAAAGTCCACTAGCTAATAACATCTGCTTGTTTGGTTTGCTCGCTGAAATTTACATAGAAAGAAAACAGGCTCCAACCAGTTTTTCTTGTCCCCAGGTTGTTTTTTGAATTTTCAAAGGGTTGTTTATATATAAGTTTGTTCATTTCTGATAAACATCCGCGGTTCCTGATATGCGTTCAGGAAAACGAACTGAAAAAAATCAGAAAAGTAGATATGAAAACTCCGACCTCATGAGTAAAAAAAAATTACAGAAACCTTTCTATACGTCAGAATTGCCCCCCCCCCCTAAATCCGCCCCTGATTAGAACATAAACCTAATTTCGAACCGTTTTTCTGGACACTGAATTTTTTTTTATTTTTCTTGTTATTCGCATCACATTTTTGAAGGGTTTGAAATGATATATGTCCGATTTTCAGTCGTCGGAATAAAAATACCCACAGCGAAACTTCTTTCAGTAGACAATGCAGAAAAATCGTTAGACCACTGAACCTCTATATGGCTAAGTTACCATAATGATCAGCCTCAGGGTGCAGTCGGCGATAATTTTTTTGTCACAAGAGTAAAAAAACAATTAATTGATGACTTAGAAAAATTCAACAATACAGATATTCCCTCCTTTTGCTGTTAAATTAGAATGTTTTAGTAACGATGACCCACTAAATTTTCAACTGAATCGATTTATTTGCAAATGTTTTAAGTTCTTAAAATGATTTAAGTTCCAGCCTTTAAGTTCTCATCAAACTTAGTTCAAGGCTTCTGTCCGAACACTTTGTCAGAATCTCCCGCCCTCACGAAGTAGAAAACAATCAACATAACAACCCGCCATCTGATTTAACAGCCGTTTAAAGCTATCGTCTTTTGCTGAAGTTTCCATGATGTTCTGAAAAACTACTGTAGCAAACATTTAGTCACGCAATTTTTATGAAAACTAAAATGGCACAGAAAAGGCGAAAGATACGGAAAAAATGTCCCATACTCGGTTGGGACTGGTTAAGCGCAACAAATAAAATTTACCACCCACTATGCTTACTTGATACTTTTTTTGCATAAAGGTCCCACCCGTATCCAGTTTCAAGCGTTAATAATCGATTATATTACGATTTTAGTACCAGTCTCACTTAAATTGAGAAACAATCGAATTTATTCAATTAGTAATCGATTATAATCTCTCTTTTTAAAACCAAATTATAAATAATTATAATCCATTATAATCGACTATAATCGATTGTTTATTCGTCTATTTTTCGATTTAATTATAATCGATTATAATTTATTATAATCCATTATTTTTATTCAACTTTCTATTCCGTTAGTTTTGCACAAAAATCCATTATAATCGATTAAAATTGATAATAATCCCTTTTGTTTGTCCATTTGTGTCATCGAACTTGCATCTAAATTGCTTATATTTTCTGCTTTTTGTGGACGTTGGTTCCTATGAAAAATGAAAAAAATATGTTTTTAAAGTTTTCCAATTAATTCATTTTTATAAGTTTTTTTTTTCAGTGCGGTGTCTTGTCTCTTCGCTTACTCAAATTGATTTTAGGATAAAATCGATTTTGTTAAGCCCGCTGTCAGGGGAGGCATGGGGGGGCTACTCTTAATAGAGAGACCGAGTGATAGAAAATTTTCAACCGATCAGAAACAGCAGAAGTTCCTTTTCGCTGATTGGTTCTTGTATTCAATTTATAAGTTTTTTTTTTCATTTCTTCTATATTAGAGTTGTTTTGTGATGCATATTTTAAATTTTTTTAAACACCAAAACATCAGGAAATTGATTTAGTTTCATGTTTGATTCGGAAAAATTCTTTTTCATCTACCGCGAGAACCTTTCCACTCATATGAAAGGATTTCTATGAAACTTTTGTTTCATGGTAAAACATTTGTCTTCAGATGAACCAAAGTGTTCAAGAGATCTCTTTTTTAGAGATTTTCTTGTTGACACAAAAATAAGAAACCATAAGATGTAATTCGAACATAGGAAAATTTCGGCAAAATAAGAGATTATAATCGATTAAAATTGATTTTAAGGGTTTTTAGTAAGAACTATAATCAATTATAATCGATCATAAGAGATTATAATCTCATGGAAAAAATCACGATTATAATCAATTATAAATCCCTTAAAGACCTAATTTTGGTAATTGTAATCGATTATAATTGTCAAAAAATCATCATAATAATCCGTTATAATCGATTACTTACGCCTAAACTTGGATGCGTGCAGAGTCAATTTTGATTGGTCGAGCGTATTTGCATAATTTTCATCGCCCTCTAGCGGCAGTTTGCCACTAATCTGCTTCAATCTGATTGATCGAGAGATTAAGATCGAACTCCGTTGCGCTCTAGCAAATTTTTCAGAGAAAATAAATCCTAAGAATGACTCAGTTATTCATGTGTTTGCGATTGATCGGGGGCGTTAGACAGTGCCGAAGTTAGAGAGTGCCGAAAAAGGCGGGAAATATTGGAACGCAATTTAAGAGGCTAGCTTTTGGCGGGAAAATTAATAATGACACTTGAAACTTGTTCAGACTCAATTTTGGCGCCAAAATCGATGAGCAAACAAAACTTTCTTTTCTTTTCTCAATTAGTTCACGACAAATAAGTGGGGGCATGTCACGGAGCCGAAT